GCAATATTGCTTGAATGTCAGTGCTGTTTTTATCGCTGCAGACTGCTACACATAAATGATGCCATTCCATACAACAACATAAAAACTATGTTACAATATTTATATAGCTTGTGCCACCTTATGTCAGTTGAAACTATATTTACTGAATAAGCAAATAAAGACAAGTATAGCATACTTGGTTAAATGGTTAAGGGGAGCTTTAACATGAAAACAGTACTTCCCAAAATACCATTATAAGAGGAAACATCTTACAAATTAAAAATAGTCACTTGCCTTGTAGTTTTTATTTGCGTGCATATGTACTCTTAAAATGCCTGTGAACTAACAACATGCTTGTGTGTGGAGGCATCAACCCGTCATTTTTCTTTGCGTCTTTTCACCACAAATTCTCTGAACATTTCAGTTATTTAGACGAGGTGAATATGACTCATTACACAAGCTCATTATTTTTGAAAATGCTCATAAGAGTCTCGTATAACATCAGAAGAGTTATTTTCAATGCATATTTGCACAATGCATCGCATTTGCTCAGTTCAGCTGTTTAACTGCTTGTTTTTTGATGTTTAAAATCCCATTTTTAAAAAAGTGCCGTAGCTCTTGTACTGACCCTCAGACAATCCATTTTAAACACTGGGTTTTATCTCAGTAAAAAAAAAACACAATCCTCTTGTCTGGTCTACCATGTTCTCTGGTTTGCTTCAATGCATGCGGAGGAAACCAAGTCTTCAACTCTGAAGTCAAAAACATGTATGAGTTCCATCTCATCCAACGTCTCCTGAATTCATTTCGACGCTCCTCATACTTGTCTATTTGGCAGTTTTATAAATATTCAACCTGAACCAGAAGAAGTTGAACTGTCCATTAAGACTTGCATTGTCAGTTTGAACTTAATGCATTCTTTTTTCCTCAGCTCTTCAATATCATCGGGTAGATAGCTTTAATAGTGGATGGTGTGAAGTTCCCAGTGGAGACCATTGTCTCCAGGCCCTCCAGTCTGTGTGATGGCACCTCAACTTTACTGGTGCTACAGTCCAGAAAAGACATGCCAAACTTCACCTCTCCATCTTTTGATATCAGACAGTAGCTGCAGACCAGTCTCAGAATGGCTCTCCGCATGTCTTTGCTAGTTAGGGTGTAAATAATGGGGTTTAGGAGCGAGTTGATCATGGCGATACCCAGGAAGTAGTCCGCCTTGAACAGCACCTCGCAGCTTTGAGTAGGGCAGCAGAAGTCCAGCAGAAGGAGCACAAAGAGAGGCAACCAGCAGGCGATGAAGACCCCGAGAACGATGGTGACCGTCTTCAGCAGAGCCAGATACTTCTGGGACTTCCTGGCCAGACCTTTGCGCTGAGGGCTGCAGCCTAACCGATGGGTGTTGGACTTTACTATGCGGAAGATGCGCACATAGAGCACCATGATGGACATCAGAACCAGGGTGAACACGGTAATGCAGAAGAGGATGAAGCTCTTGGAGTAAAGAGGCAAGACAGTGGAGCATTCGTCCAGATTTCCTATGCAATTCCAGCCCATGATTGGGAGAATGCCGAGGAGCACCGAAAGAACCCAACTTGCACCAATCAAAATGAACATTCGGCCACGCTTGGCCCCTTGATACGGCTTCATCCGGACCATCGTGACATGCCGCTCGATAGCTATAGCAAGGAGACTGATGACAGACGCCGAAAGTGTGATAAACACGCCGCCTTCTCGAAGAAACCACAGCACTGGAGTCATTTTGAGAGTGTTTGCGCCCGAAGTCACGATGTTCACCATGTAGGTGAAGCCTGCTAGCAAGTCAGAGAGCGTCAAGTTGCCCAGCAAGTAGTACATGGGAATGTGGAATTTTTTGTTCTTCCATATTGCCAACAAAACAATGGCATTTTCCACCACAATGAGAAGACAAATGATAAGAAACACAATGGCCTCGGGTTTCAGTCCATCCCGGTATTTGTTCTCGTTCAGCTTTCCGGTGAAGTTGTAATGGGCCATGATGACGGCGTTGCTTTGATACTCCCGAAACATTCTGCGCAGGTAACCTGGAGACGAGGTGATCGGTGGCAGAGTTGGAGCAACGGCGGCGCTAGCAGCGAATGAGGCTTCCATTCTTCCTACTTCTTTTGCTATCCTTAAAAACTTTTCTTAAGGATCTCTGTAGTCCCTCTTATTGCCATATTCCAACAAAGCACATAAAACAACTAAAGAGGATTTAACATAGTTGTGATATATCCTTGTGTTGTAGGATAATTTATATTGAAATATTCACTTCTGTCCTTGATGCTCAAATCACAGCTTTGCTATATCCTCAAAGGCCACCAGAGGGAACTGAAATAAAGCAGTAGAAAATAATGTTAAATAATTAGGGTAAACTTAATTTAATGAAAAACAAAATCTATAAAAATACACATGTAAAACTAAAACAACAAAAAAGAAAAACATGCATATTCAATTGAATATTTAGCATTTATCATGTTCTATTTAAATTGTTTAATTATAATTTCATGGTCAATATTTTATTTCAGTGCAGACATAGTAGACAATAAACAATGTTTATCTAAATGAATGGACATTTTAATTAGACTGTATTTGATTAGGAATTCTGAAAAAGTATTAAAGTAAATTGTGTTTGAGTATCAGTATTAGAATTAGTCAGTGCACTGTAAAAAAAA